GGCATTGGATTCACTTGGGTTCACTTGTTCCATTGAGAATGAACTCAGTTTGTCAGGCTTGGTGGTAAGTGCTCTTACCCACTGAGCCATCCCTCTTTCTGTCCCCATACCCTGTTTTATTAAAAATAAAACAAAAACAAAAACAACAACAACAAAATTCCAAAAAATTAAAGGAGACAGGACTTGAGAATTTCATGTCCACCCTGCTTACAGTCATTACCTACCATCTTCTTCCGCTAAGAGTCCCCAACAGACTAGTCAGTGCTGCAGTGGGGTCTCTGCAGAGCTTTCAGCCTCTTACAGCCTCAGTGTCCCTCCTTTGAAAGACATAGTTACTGTGCGTTCTTTCTACCTGTGAAGTTGACAAGGAAATGACAGAGGTAGTGGATTGAGGTTAGCTCCAACCAGAACTGGGCCCAGAGCTGTTGGGAGACATGTCAACCACCGCCTCTGGTGATGGCCAGGGTGGTGAGGCTGTGAGAGAACAGGCCTGACTTCCTCCACAGCTGCATCTTCCTATGCATCGTTTGCACACACACACTCTCACTGCACACACTCGCTCACTGTTTGCACACACACTCTCACTAAGTCTAAGGCGTGAGTATTGGCAGTGCAGAGTTCCAAGGGGACTTTATGGCGTGCTAAACTGTTAGCTAAAGACATTTGTGTGTATACACGTGCCAATGCCTATGCATCTGTTCACGTGTGAGGGAGAGGAGGGACTGTACAGACGATAGGTATGTGGGCATGTGTACATACAGAGATAGGTACGCGTGTAGGAACATGTTAGAAGCTCATCGGCAGCCTGTGTCTATGAGTCCATAAATACTTCATTAAGTAGGTCTCAGAAGAAAGGCTGTGAGTTCTTCCTAGACATATCTGAGTCTCATTTAAAGGAGTAAAAAGGAAGTCTCTAGCTCAGGTTCCAGGGTTAAGGAAACAGCCCAAATGACCAAAACTCTGACTGCTCCCTATTTGAAAAATAAGCTGGCAGAAAACCCCTTTGGTTCCCCACTTTTCTCCTTTGAGGTCTTACATGTCCGTTATTTGTCCCTAAGATGCTGTGTCTGATTATTACACACCACTCGCCATGAATTCTTGTGACTAAAGGCTAAAAAGCCAGTCCTCCGAAGTCAGTGGGATCACCGATCACCTGTACTTAGTGTTTCACCATGCTGGATTCAGAAGTCAGCTCAGGGCTGTATTGCATGCCTTTAATCCCAGCATTTGGGAGACAGAGGCAGGTGGATCTCTGTGAGTTCGAGGCCAGCCTGGTCTACAGAGCAAGTTCCAGGACAGCCAGGACTGTTATATAGAGAAACCTTGTCTCGGAAAACAAACAAACAAACAAGTCAGCTCAGCCGTGTGTATTACTCATGGATTACGAAGCTTGTGCTGGAGGATGGCAAGGGTTTGTAGAGATAGCCAAGGTCTGTGTGTTTCATCCTTTCTGTAACGTTGAAGAGCTACTTAGAGGTAAAGAGCAAGCTGGTGCTGATATAATATGCCACCTTGTGCAACACAAGATTTTTCTACCCACTGACAATTTACACCAAATCCAGTAACTGTTGAAAGGTTTCAACCCAGTCTCTTACTGAGTAATAAATCCATGTGTTAGTGCAATGTTTACAGTGGCAACATCCACAGACTGAGAGTGTAAGGGCTTCTGCCCGTACAAAATCAGCCAAGGTCCACATGCTAAGACCACCTCAGATGACCTTCTCAGAGTGCTTCTGTCTTCACCCACAGATGTCTACGTGTTGGCTGTGTATTCATGGGAAAGTTATCAATCTAGCCTCATCTGGTCTCCAGTGGTTAGAACCAGCAACGTTCCATACAGCTGCTGGAGATTACTGCCTCATAGTCATTGCTGTTTAACTTTTCACAAGCTCAGTTAGGAGGGAAAACACAAATGGAGAGTTTCCTGAAGGGCATATAGCTACGCTTCCCTTTGGACATTCTAAATCTCTCTGTGGACTACCCACACCATCCCTGAAGAGAGTCACTGGGGCCGGGCAGAACTGCTTTCCCTGATCAGGTGACATGACTGGCCTACAGTGAAGGATATCGAGCAAAACGGGCCTATGCAGCCTGCCACTGTGTTTACTATAAAATCATGTGACACACTGTCCCCTCCAAAGGGCCCATGAGCAAGTGTCGTCCTGGCCAGGGTATCAAGAATAACTCTGGGCCCAGTAAAATAGCTCAGCACATGAGAATGCCTGCTTCCAAGCCTGACAGCACTAGTTCAAGACCCACGGAAAGGTGGAAGGAAGAGGGTTCACTGCAAGACTCCTGCAAGTTGTCCTCTGCACCCACGCTGTGACACATGGGAATGCGTGCGTATGCACACGCACACACACACACACACACATATGGACACACACATTAGATAAATAAATAAATGTAAAATGAAGGTTTTAATTTAAAAAAATAACAGTTTTGCTTTTGACTAGTCAATTTTTAAATTAAGGAAACTACACACATTCTAACTGATCATATTTCACACTTTGCTTTGTTTGTTTGTTTGTTTGTTTTGTTTTGTTTTGTTTTGTTTTTTGAGACAGGGTTTCTCTGTGTAACAGCCCTGGCTGTGCTGGAACTCACTTTTAGATCAGAATGACCGCGAACTCACAGAGATCCGCCTGTCTCTGCCTCCCAAGTGTTGAGATTACAGGCGTGCGCCACCACCGCCCGGCTCACACTTTGCTTTGTATAACAAGCTCAGAAACAAATCTGTTGTCTGCTTCTTCTACTGAAATAACATTTGCTGGCATGCTGGACATATCCTCCAAACATTACAGGCTATTACGAATGCTATTGGTTACTCCCACAACCAGAGTATAAGACCCTACTGCTGAAGACACCATTTACTTATGCCATCAAACATGGAGAAATCAAGCTGGCGCCCAACTAGAAACTTCAACCCTACAAACTCTGCAACCTACAAAGGTGATCCCTTCAAAATACACTCGTACAACAGTGGCATAAAATTAATGGGAATAACCAACCACTGATTAAAAATTAGATTTGAGGCTCATTCCATGAGAAGGAACCCACACTTGATATCACCAACGAGGCCAAGAAACTAAGACTAAATAGGTCATGGGCCCAGGTGAGAACCTACTACTATAGCAATAAAACAACCTGTAATGACACATTGTTATATATCTACAGATCAGTGCATGGCTTACCCCTCATCAGAAATGCCTCCGCTCGAAGCAGATGGCAATTAGCACAGAGACCCACAACTGGACACTGTGCAGACAATGAGAGACCCTGGAGCACTCAGCCCTACATGGGGTATTGTTATCAAACCCTTCTTCTCAATGCTCATGGATCTATACAGAAGAGGAGGCAGAAAGACTGTGAGAACTAGAGGCTGGGGATGACTCTAAGGAAACAGCATCCTTCAGACACAACAGGGCTGATGCACACCCTGTCAACTCAGAGTGTGACAGCACACACAGGACTTGTACAGATTCATGCCAGACAAAAGCTGAGCACAGAGGACGGGAAGTGGACACCAAGTCCCACCCCCTACCCAAGGAGCTACATGACTCCTTGCTGAGAAAGGGAAAATCCATTTTGTCCAATGGAATAATACTAGATACATCAACGCCAACTCCAGCTTCATGCTCAGGTGTAGGTGAATAACACAAAACAGATTCCACATTTTTCTGTGTGCTTTTTTTGGGTTGTGATTTAGTAATTTTTGACTTTTTTTTTTCCTTTTTTAAGAAGGAGAAAGAACATGAAATTGGGTATGTAGGGAGGCGAGGAGGATGTAGGAGGACTTAGGGGAGAGGAAAGAATATGATCAAAATATAGTATATGAAAATATTTTAAAATAACAAGTAAGAGAAAAAAAAAGACTTGGGCATAATGTGACTGATCACCTTACATTCCTGCTACCATTCCCACCAGTGTGGACTATATCTTTTCTTTTATTTTTTTAAACAAGGTCTTACTATGTAGCCTTGGCTGGCCTCGAACTTACTATGTAGACCAGGTTGGACTCAAACTCATAGAGCTCTGCCTGCCTCTGCCTCACAAGTGCCAAGGTTGAAGAACTGTGTAACCACACTTGGTTATCTCCCCTCCTAAACTGTGATTCCTCTTAAAAAAGAGAGAAAGAGAGAAAGAATGAAAGAAAGAAAGAAAGAAAGAAAGAAAGAAAGAAAGAAAGAAAGAAAGAAAGAAAGAAAGAAAGGAAGGAAGGAAGGAAGGAAGGAAGGAAGGAAGGAAGGAAGGAAGGAGGGAAGAAAGAATGAGTGGCCTTGACTCCTGGTTGTACGCCTGCCTTGTTTTGACTTTGTCTGTTCTTCAGTTTGCTAAGGTTTTTGTTTTTCTGTTTTGTTTTTCCAAGACAGGGTTTCTCTGTGTAGCCCTGGCTGTCCTGGAGCTCGCTCTGTAGACCAGGCTGGCCTCGAACTCACAGAGATCCGCCTGGCTCTGCCTCCCGAGTGCTGGGATTAAAGACACCACTGCCCAGTCATTTGCTAAGTTTTAATTTATTTTGTTTTCCTGCGTTGTGTAAAGTTTTAGGCCACTTTAATCCCCTTAGAAACAAACTGAAATATAAACAATGTAGAAAAATGACCAGCACAGTGCAGAGATGCTAGTGTGAGCTAGACGCAACACATGGCTACCTCAGAATTCTGATCTGCGGTTTCTTGTGGCTACATCAGAAAATGGTGGGAAATAATTCCTAGATCTATCTATAACAAGCTTAATGCTAAAACTGAAGAACAGAGAGAGAGAGAGAGAGAGAGAGAGAGAGAGAGAGAGAGAGAGAGAGAGAGAGACAGAGAGAGAGAGAGAGAGAAAGAGAGAGAGAGAGAGAGAGAGAGAGAGAAATGCAGTAAACAAAGTCCCGAGAGAACATATTCTGAAAGCCACAGTCAGCCTGTCAGCTCTACAGCCGTTAACACTTCCTGTGTCATCCACCCGATGACATTTCACTGCTCTTCAGAAGCACAGTATTGCAAATCACCTACCGTGTTTATGAATGAATGCCAGTCCTTGCAATATCTGATACATTATATTCCTTATAGCAGATTCTGGAAACAACTTATTTCTGTATGGGCCGGAAGAAAACAAAGTTAAAGAGCCAAGTTTCTGTAGTGAAAGGAATCTCTGTTATTATCTTGTGTTAGTCTGATTATGTAGTATTAAATTAAGAAATTTTACCAGATCCTTTGATGATAAATAGCAGAGAAAAATAATCACTTGTTGACATAGTGAGTATGTCAACTCATACTCATAGTAAGTAATAAACACCAAGTACATTGAGCTCTATTACAAAGAAAAGAGTAAACGTTTTATAATAAAATAAATAAGAAACCTGTAACACTGTATCCAAAAGCTAGGCACGGCAGCCACACCTGTAATCTCAGGACTCAGAAGGTTCACATGAAAGGATCCTAAGTTCCAGGCCAGTCTCAACTACGCAGCAAGTTTGAATAATGAGACCTTTCTCAAAATAACAACAACACAAAATGAAAGCAAGCAAGCTGCATCCCCGGAGTTGTCCCGGGGCTTCCTGGCACAGGAATGTGGTTGGGTCCTTCACCGAGCTGCCAGATTTCATCATTAAAATCCAGAGGCACATAAGACTGTTAAAGGACTACAGAAAGAACCAGAAAGCTGAAATAAACAAATCAGAAAGTACATCTACTCTGCAATATTAATTCGTAAGACTGTTACTACCGTGAGACTGGAAAGATGGCTCAGAGGTTAAGAACAAGGCTCCTAGAGGACCCTTGGGAGTTCAGTTCCCACACCCACATTGGAGTGGCTCACTGTAACTCCAGCACTAGTGGGGAGCTGGCACCTCTGGCATTTGTGGGCACTCACACACATATGCACCCCTACACGTATAATTTAAAATAATAAAAATAAATCTCAAAGACACTTTGTTCAAAAATAAGGTTATGACCAAACCATACCTTTCTTTAATGAGCTGGTAAAGGTTTTCCTTCATGTACTCGAAGATAAAATAGAGATGATCATTTTCCCTGATGACTTCTTTCAACTTTACTATATTGGCATGATTGAGCTTCTTCAAAGACTGAAACAAGGTGAGAAAGAAAACCAAACGAAATTAGAAAAACAAATGTGTTTCAAAGGGAAAGCAGCCCCAAGCACACTTAGAAAGGGAATTCTGATTTGAGAACTGAGAACATGCCATGAATCACATTCTATTGGCAACTTAGTAAGCAGTGTTTCTCTGAAGTCAACATGACTTGATCTAGAAACATGCCTCTGGTGGATTGACTAGAAGGTAAGCATCTGATCACTAGCTGGTACTCCTGACTGCACCGAGCCTGGAGCAATAGGTCAGGACTATTTCTGTGGCAATAGGCCCAGGCTGTTTTAGACTCACTCCCTCCAGATCATGGAATTCAGGTTGTACAAGTGGCCAGAGGGGAACCAAATAAAGAGAGCCATGGCTTTAAATCTTCTGGCACTGGAGAATGCAGTTGGTTAAGGCCGAGGTCACCAGACAGCAGCCTGCAGACACGGTCAACAGGAAATTGCTGAAAGGACTGAGGCTGATAGCCTGATTCTCTAGACTTTGATCAGACCTGTGTGCCTGCGACAAAATGCTCCTTCTTACAGTATGAGTTTTAATTACCGGGAGGAATGAAGACATATTGTTGATGAAATACTGAGTGGAAGGTCGAGAGTAACAGAGGTGAGCAAGTCAGGCAGTAGCCGCGGAACATGGACATGGTTCAGAAGATGATACACGAGTTTTGATTACTCATCATACACGGGAACTTAGTTTTCTAAGTTCATTTGAGTGTAGCCCTGTACATCTGACTTTCCATATACACCATCTGCCAGTGGTGAACAAAAATGCTGTCCTGTTAGTGACCAGCAATCAGTATCTGGAGACACCCAATCATTGGGAGTGCTACCTGGATGATCAGAATTTGAACCTTGAAAAGTCTCTTCCCCCACAGAGCAATGAGGTCAATAATGACAAATTATAGAAGCTCCTCTGTCTTTGAATTTCATTAAAAAGAACACCCTTTCTATAAAAACAAACAAAATGTGCAGAAGGAAGTGTTAAAGTCAACATCCAAATCTGGAAGGGTCCAAATGATCGGAACTTGGGTTGATGTAGCTTGGAAGAGAGAGGAAGTACGGCCAGTGGATAAGGAGCAAGTGAGACTTTTCTGGACCCTTCATCTCAGAGGACAAATTCTTGCCAAGGCATTTTGCTGGCATGGATCCTCAGCAGTTTGAGCTAGAATCTTCTAGGATGGCCCAGCCTGGTTGATTATCCCTTTTACTTGGGTTGGAATCCGGGTTTCCCACGAGTAACAACACAGGCTGTTGTTCACTGGCTGCTCCTGGTGGCGGCCATCTTTCCTGCCTGTTTGCTTAAAGCATGTCACAAGTAGCTTCACGGCAAATTCACTCAGGGGAAAAAATGAAGTCTATTTTAGAGCTTTTCTAGAAGGCAATTCTAGAAGGAGTGCAGTGGTTCAGCTGTGAGGCTGTGGTCTGTCTGAAACATGAATTACAGGCTCGTGTCTAAGAGTAGCTTGAAGCTCCAGTTTTAATGAGGTTACTGAGCAAGTTAAATTTTCTATCCGTCTAATCTGTAAAGGGTTCATTCTGCTTGGAGAATTTCACCGTATTCATTTACAAAGAACTATATCCGGAAAGAAGCACCTCATGTGGTTATGGGAAAGTCTGTGAAGGAGTAGACACAGGCCACTTGTGTCAGAGCAGAAAGCATCAGGAGTGACTCAGAAATGAGCCAACAGGGAAGCACTCCACGGATGAATCGATAGTACCAATTCTGCCGCCCTCAGGGACTGGTCAACACTTTCCTCCCTGTTACAACTACAACGTACTATATCCTAAGGATAAACCTAGTGTAAGGGCAGTATCTGCTTCTCAGAGGCCAGCAGCCTAGCTGGGAGCATAGGGTATGAATTTAAAATGCATGTTAACATGTGGCTAGGCTTGGTGGCGTGCACTGCATGCCTTTGATTGTAGCAGATTGGTTGGCAGAGGCAGTGGATCTCTATAAGACCAAGGCCACTCTGGGCTATACAGTGAGACCCTGTCTCAAAAACAAATAATGAATGTAACAAATAAAGAAGACATATTAAAGGTCAAAGGTGAGGTAGAAACAAGAAGCATGAGATAGTTAGTCCTCACCGTCCACTTGATGGGACTTAGAATCACTTAGGAGACACACCTCAAGGCACGACTTTGAGGGAGTTTCCAGAAAGGTTTAACTTGGGAAGGAAGACCCACTCTGAGTGTGGGCAGCACCAGGGCTTGGGGTCCTGGGTAGAATAAGAAGGGAAAAGAGGAAGGCAGGCTTGATGACGTATACCTATAATGCCAGTACTTGGGAGCTGAAGGCAAAAGAATCAGGAGTTCAAGGCCAGCCCTGACCACATAGTGGATTTGAGGCCAACCTGAGTACAAGAGATTTTGCATCAGCAACAAAAAAAGGAAGGGCAAAAACAAGCTAACAGCCACATTCATCCCTCCTCCTCCTGACTACAGACTCCATATGGAACAATTGTGTCACTCTTGCTGTCACGACTTCCTGTCATGCCTTCCTCACCAGTATAGTTTCTATTTCCTCAGCTTGTGAACCAAAATAAGTCCTTTGTCCCTCAAGTTGAATTTTTCTGAGTATCAACAAAGGCAGGCAGGGTGTGCATTTCCAGGAGAGAAAATGTACAGTCAGTTGTACAGAAAAGTAAGGTTTACCATCAAAACCAAGGGCACCCCTCAAAGCTTCATGTCATCACAAGAATTCCGTGGGTCATGCTTTGCTCTTTACCTGTGATTCTTTGGGATCCCAGAGCTTTTTTTCTCTGACTAAGAAGTTAACATACTACTGTGACTCAGGTGAAATCCATCCACTACCTGTTCTTCGAGGGTCCATGAACTAGGAGCAGATTTTACAGATGAGTATTCCCAATCACTTTTATGACAGAGAATACTACTCTTACTTTTTTTTTTTATTTTATATGTATGTGCTGTGGATTATGCTCATTGTTAATAAAAAACTGAGTGGCCGATAGCAGGGCAAGAAGAGATTGGGCGAGACAGCCTGAAGCAGAAAGAATGATGGGAGAAGTGAGGGCGGAGTCAGGAGAGTTGAGGGGGAGATGCCAGTCAGCCACCGAGCAAGTAGGGCACATAGAAAAAGAGGTAACAAGTCATGAGCCATGTGGCAAGCATAACTAGAAATGTAGATTAATTTAAATGTAAGAGTTAGCTAGTAACAAGCCTGAGCTATCGGCCAAGCATTTATAACCAATATAAGCCTCATTGTGTTTACTTGAGAGTGGCTGTGGGACAGGAAAACTTCTGTCTACACGTATGTGTGTTGGCCTGATTGTATGTATGTATGTATGTATGTATGCATGTATGTATGTATGATATAGGTATGTATACCACATGCTTACAAGTGGCCCTAGGAAGCCAGCAGAGGGTGTTGGATCCCTGAGAACTGATGCAGTTGTGAGCCATCCGTGTGCTGGGGAGGGAACTAAACAGGGCCCTCTACAAGTGCAGCAAGTGTTCTTAACTTCTGAGCCATCTCTCTAGCCCCAAACACCTTGAACCTTAATTAAGCTTAATGTTATGGCCTCCCAGCAAATGAATGCCATTTTTCTCATTGGAAGACTTATAATAAAATTATATTCAATTATTATTTTTATATGCTATACTTTTTTTCTTTTGTTTTTGTTTTTGTGGGGTTTTGTGTGTGTGTGTGTGTGTGTGTGTGTGTGTGTGTGTGTGTGTGTGTGTGTGTGTTTGGGACAGAGTCTCTCTAGCTGTCCTGGAATGTGCTATGTAGACCAGGCTGTCCTCAAACTCACAGAGATCTACCTGCCTCTGCCTTCTGAGTACTGGGATTAAAAGTGTGTACCACCATGCCCAGCTGCTGCTGCTGCTGCTCCTCCTCCTCCTCCTCCTCTTCTTCTTCTTCTTCTTCTTCTTCTTCCTCTTCTCCTTCTCCTTCTTTCTTTTTCTTTTTTTAAAAGTCTTACTATGTAGGTTTGGCTGGCCTGGAGCTCACTACAAAGACCAGGCTGTCCTTGAACTCAGAGAGCCACCTGTCTTAGCTTCCTAAGTTCTGGGATTAAAGTCATGCACCATCACACCTGACGGGATATTTTTCACTCGTTACATCTATACACAAACAATATCTTCAACAATATCTTCTGGCTCATGGAGTCTAAAAGAGTTATGACCTTGCCCTTTATGAAAAAAAGTTTGCACGTCCCTGCTCTGGACTTGAAGCCCTATTTCATGTACTAAAAGGGCTGGTTTCATATCCCACTGGGCTTTTCAAACAGGGATGAGTGTGAGGCCTGACAATGGATGAAGCACCACTCCGGTGCATAAGGAAAAGAATGATAGGCTGTAAACCCTCGTGGTCAGTCTACCTGGAGAGATGTTAAAAGCAGAATGGAGAGGGGAGAGGAAAAAGAGAAAGAAAAGGGAACAAAAGCAAAGGAAAGGGGCCGGGGCGGACCTCTGCTCTAGAACACCTGCCCAGGAAAGGGGCCGGGGTGGACCTCTGCTCTAGAACACCTGCTGAGGGGCATGATGTCCTGAGTTTGTTCACCAGCACTGTTGAGAAAGAAAGAAACCAACAAAAACAGCAACAACAACAACAACAAACCAGGCCTGGTGCAGCCTGTAAATCACAGCAACTAGGAAGCTGCAGAGCCAAAGACAATTTCTGGTTCAAGGCCAACCTGGGCTACATAGGCAGACTTTGTCTGAAGAAAAAAAAGAAAGAAAGAAAAGAAAAAAGAAAAGAAGCAAACAAAGAAAACCAGTGGAGACAGGCTCTATGCAATGCTGACAAAGTTCTGTGTGAGTCAAAGAATTCCATTGCACACAACAGAGTATCAGCGCAAGAAAACGCAAGAGGCACTGCTATCGTATCTAGGAAACAAGCCACAGATCGAGCTTCCTGTGCATCAGTGGATAGAAATGACGCCTATGGAGGCAACAGCCCACCAAATCAACACTTACTGAAATATACGGGTTGAAGAAATCCACTAACAACAAAAGCATTCTAGTAATAACACATTCATTAAGTAACATAGTAATTTTCCACTTTCAGATACCAGCTGTATAATATCCTCTCTTTATTTTCACGGCATCGTGAAAAAACAGATGAAATGACTACAGCAGGTATACATCTAGCCATAAATACAGCTATTCTAATCAGCCAAATAGAATTATTCCCTGATAAATTGATAAATACCTTAACCTCCCGAAGGTTCATGCATTCTTCCCAGGAGTAAAACTTTCTTTTCATTCTGAAAGGGAAGAGAAAGGAACAACATGCTTATTCCAAGTGATAGGCTGAACACCATTTCTTAGAAATGTTTTCATTCAGGGTTGGAGAGGCGGCTGAGTGTTGAGAGCATTGCATGCTCTTGCAGAGAACCCTCGTTCATTCCCAGCACCCACAATCAGGTAGCTCAAATTGCCTGCAACCCAGCTCCAGGGGACCCAATGTCATTTTCTGGCCTCTGTGGGCATGCACACATACAAATGCAGCAGGCATACATGAATGCACACACATACAAAGAAAAATAAATATTTTTTTCATTCTGAACCTAACCAATGTTGGTTCCAATTTGTATAAAACATTATACTATCTAAGAAGCCTTTATATGAAAACATGTCAAGCCTAAGCCATTATACTTCCCGCAGCAGTGGGAACCTAGTGTGCTGCTTGTTTCTTGTCAACTTGACAAAAATGGAAGAAGAAATCTCAGTTGAGAAAACGTCCCACTAGACAGGCCTGCAGGCAAGTCTGTGGGGCTTTGATGGGTGACTGAGGCTAGTGGGGCCAGCTCACTGTAGGTGGTGCCATGCCTGAGCAGTTGCTTTTGGACTGTATAAAAAAGTAGGCTGAGCAGAGCAAGCCACAAGGAGCAAGACAGTAAGCAGCACCCTTCCATGGCCTCTGCATCAGCTTCTGACTTCCCTCAGTGATGGAGTGTGATCTCAGAGTTGTAAGAAGAAATAAACCCTTTCCACACCAAGTTGGTCATGGTGTCTATCACAGCAACAGAAACCCTAACCAGGCCTCCTGGTGTCGTACAAAGAACCAGGTCTGCTGTCTGACGCTAACAAACTAACTTGGCCTGAAGGAAACTCCCTCAAGTTTATTCTGTCCAGGCCAGTGCTGGCCAACAGAACTTCTGGTGTTGGTGGAAATCTTTGGGGAGGTCCAGCATGGCAGCCACAGATATGTTGCTACAGGATAAGACAGACAGCAGTAGGTAGGCTCAGGGGGTTATAAAACGAAAGGGAAAAGGAGGAGGGAGAGTTGGGGATGGATATGACCAAGATACATTGTGCCTATGTATGAAATTTTCAAAGAATTAATTTTAAATTATATTTTAAAAAAAGTATGTGGCTATGCTAAGCACTCAAAACATGGCTAGTGTACCACAGGAACTGGGTTTTAATGCAATACAGATACCAGATATGGTATTATTGTAGAATACTATTTTAAGGTGTGTTACTTTTGTTTATGTTGCATTTGTTTAACTCTGTGAAGCTGTGTTACTTTGCCTGTCTAAAACACCTGATGTCTAATAAAGAACTGAATGGCCAATAGCAAGGCAGGAGAAAGGATAGGCAGGGCTGGCAGGCAGAGAGAATATATAGGAGGAAAAATCTGGGAGAAGAAGAAGTAGTAGCCAGAGAAGGAGGAGGACTCCAGGGGCCAGCCACCCAGGTACACAGCAAGCCATGGAGTAAGAGTAAGATTTATAGAAGTAAGAAAAGGGAAAAGCCCAGAGGCAACAGGTAGATGGGATAATTTAAGTTAAAGAAAGCTGACAAGAAACAAGCCAAGCTAAGGCTGGGGATTTATAAGTAAGAATAAGCCTCTATGTATGATTTATTTGGGAGCTGGGTGGCAGGCCCCCCAAAAGAGAAAAGACCAAAGACCAAACAACAACATGGTATCTTACTATTTGTGGTAGTTGAAGGAAATGTCTATGACCAATGGTCTAGTGTATTGGAATACTTGGTCTCAAGTTGGTGGCTGTTTAGGAATGCTTAGGAAGTGTAGCCTTGTTAGAGGAAGTATGTCACTTGCCCCATTTCAGGTGAGTACATTCGGTTTTCTGTTTGTGGTTCCAGATGTAAGCTTTCAGCTGCTGGTCTACTCCCCCACAACCTGCTCCCTCAGTTCCACCACCATGGAAGTAAGAAAATAGTACAGTGTAGCTATGTAGTACATGCAGTAGGGCCAGTCATAAGAAGATCTGGGGAGGAGTAAGTTCAAGACACTGAAAGGCTGGAGACTGGAGCGAAGAGGCAAGAGGGCAGTGATAAGAGATAAAGCTAGAGAAAACAGGCCAAAGGTGCAGCAACTTGGAGGTCACAGAAGTTGATGACTGTTGCTAAGAGGATGGCACCTAGAGAAAGCTATGTCACACTGGACTCTCCTAGGCTTCCGTTCAGGAAGTTCGTTTAGAAGGTGGTTCCAGAAAGCCAGGGCAAAGAGCAGCAAAACTAGGGGAAAGATGAAAGATCAGGTATAAGATACGTGACTGTGCTGATACCAAGACTAGGCCCAGCTCTGCTGTGAGCACGGAAGTTACCGGAGATAAGGGGCTTGTCTTAGTTATGGTTACTATTATTATGATGAAACACCACGATCAAGAGCAAGTTGGGGAGGACAGGGTTTATTTGACTAAAGCTTCCACATCTATAGTCATTTACTGAAGGAACTCAAACAGGGTGGGAACCTGAGGCAGGAGCTGATGCTGAGGCCATGGAAGGGTGATGCTTACTGGCTTTCTCCCTCTGGCTGTTCAGTTTGCTTTTTTTTTTTTTTAGAACCCAGGACCACCAGCCCAGGGAGGGCATCACCCACAGTGGCCTGAGCCTCCCCCATCAAGCATGTATATGGCTGTCTACAACCTGATCTTAGGGAAGCACTTTCTTTGTTGAGGCTCCTCCTCTCAGAGGACTTTAGTTTGTGTCAAGTTGACAGAAAACCATCCAGCACAGGGCTGCAAAGAGGCAGGAGAACACAAAGAATGTTTAACACTAGTGGTTTTAATGAACTGTCTTTTCAGTTTGGTATGAGCTGTGAAATGACTGGGAGCCAAGAGCCCTACAGAGGACCCGGTGGTCAGATGGTAAATGGTAATAGTCTGGAAGTGAGGTTCTAGTAGGCATGGAGGAGGTAGACCAGATAGCTATTTAGTACAATTGACAGGACTAGATGACTGAGGGGGAGGCATAAGTGGGAGTAAAGTCAAGAGAGCTCAGGTTTTGAGGTGGCTGGAGAGAGGGAAAACAGAGTCAGAAGGAACTCTGCACATCCATAACCCAGTTCTTGAAAGGCAAGGCAGAGAAGTGTGAATCCAAAGCCAGCCTAGACTGCACAACAAGACTGTCTAACAGAAACAAAACAAAACAAAGATAAGAAGGATAAACACGTCTGGAATAAAAATGGAATAGTACTCTGCATGTAAGTTCGGTTAGGGGAATGATTTTTAAATGGTTACAGGACTAAGTGCAGATGGTAAGAAGGTAGCAGATGGGCATAGGTAGCCCAGCAGGCAGACTCTAACACGATCCCCGAAGACCCCTATCTTCCTCTATTTATAACCGTGTATACCCTTTCTCCTTCAATAACCTGCTTCTAGCCAGTAAGGGCACATCATTCTGAGAGGAAGTCACTTCTGTGATTAATTTGTAAGAGTAAAAAGATATGACTTCCATCTAAGAACACTCTTTCTTTACAAAAAATTTATTTAGTGTATATATGTACAACAGGGTACTATGTGTACCGTGTGTGCAGGTGGCCACAGAAGCCAGAAGAGGGTGTTAGGTCCCTTGGAACTGGAGTTACAGTTGTTGTAACTGTAACTGTTGTTACAGGTTGTTGAACTGTGTAGTTCAGCTGGGGCTGAACTCCAATCCTCTATAAGAGTAGGAAGCACTCTTAACCGCTGAGTCGCCTCTCAGCCCCTTACTGCTTTCCTGTTGCCTAGATCTCAATGAAGCAAGTCACCTTATTGTGAGATACTCTGAGGAGCAGTCCACATGGCAAAGGACTGAGAGGCAGCCTCTGGCTGACAACCAGCAGAGAACCTAGGCCCTCAGTTCAACAACGTCCAAGGGTCTAAATGCAATCTAAAGTCACAAGAGTGAGCTTGGCAGTAGATCCTTCCCCTGCCCAGCTGTCCATGATATCACAGTTTTGAGCAACACTTTGATTGCAGCCTCAGAAGAGACTTTGAACCGGATAACTCAGCTAAGTTGTGCTGACCAACAGAAACTGCGATACAATGTGTGTGTATGTTGTTCTAATCTACAAGTTTGGAGTAAATTGCTATATAGCAACAGGTAACTAATGCAGTTGGTCTGAACTCTGTCTGCAAACACTAAATATGGGGGAGTGACACAAGACAGCAGGTACCAGATCAACACGTGTCCTCTCCTGGAAAATGAAGTTTATTAACTTCACCACCACCTCATCATAAGCGGTACCATTTCTTTATAACATTAGAATCATCGCCTAATGTTCTTCTTTATGCCTCCCATCCACTCCCCGTTAGACATGTTTCAAAGACAGAGAATGGACAGAACAGAGTTAAAAGCACCTTGATAGGTAGAGCTGGTCGTGAGTTCATAAGAGTGAAGTATACACTTACTTTTTAATGGCGATCAGTTCTCCAGACTCAATGCTTCTTCCCAGCAGGACAGAACCGTAGGTCCCATCCCCAAGCTGCTTGATTGTTGTGTATCTATTCATGGTGTGCCTGCTCTGTTGGGACACTCATCTCAGGGCCGAGGGGATTCAGTCCTGCAGCAGCAGCAGGCCTCCCCAGACTGTAACCAGATTTTTCGATGGCAGCACCAGCACAAGGTATTCAATAGAACGTGATTATCTCCCAAATACATATTTTCGAAGGTCAGTCTTCTGCCTGTAGAAAAGCATGGAGGATTAGGACAGATGTTAATGAACATTTTGGTTTTGTGTATTTCTGTAATCTAAAATAATGGCTAGTGAACTGTAGTCACTAGACTGCCATTCATTCATTTAAATAAAGTTTTATTGGGACAAAGCACATTTACACTTGCTGGTTATCTCTATTCATATAGCAGAACTGATTCTGACATTGTATGGCCAAGAGTGGTTATGCTCTGGAGTCACAGAATATGGCCTACATATTCTCTTTCAAATACAAATAAACGTCTTCATAAAACTAGAGACAGCATGCTTGGAAACGGATGAAATGAACTAGGTCCAATTCAGTGCTTCTCTGGGAAAACTGCAAGACTATGGTGTGTGAGGACCGCTGAACTAAGAGCACCCATGCTAAATGCATTCTCTGCACTTGAGCTACAGTCAGCAGAGTAAACCTACAAAGGCGAGGAAGCCAGTACCACACCATGGCAGAAAGAAACCCGACATGTGTCTCATGAACTATTTGTAGCCAAGCATCAACATCTCTATATTTTTCTCTTAGATGATTGGAAGCTGAACAAAGAATGACTCATTCAAGGCCGATATAGGAGATATATAGCAGCTTCTGTGCTCCTATTGTTGTAGGTTTTTTTAAAAATAGTAAGTCATTGATCTTTTAAAAACATATAATTGAGAGTCACTCCGTCTGCCTATAACAAAGAGCTTTGTAATCCAGGTGACTACGATGTTCTCAGGCAAACACTCATAACATAAACACTTAATAAAAATGATAAGGGTATACTGTGACTGCTAAACTAGTAATCTGAGGATTCTAATGGCAAAAGATGACGGAAGGACGTGACTTTCTGCACATAACTCCTGTCTATGCAGCTTCTCCTTCCAAAAGAATTCCAATCAACAAATGTACAATGAAAGGGGCAAGGAGAAATGTCCTACTAAGTAAATACCATGGCAAGACTTGCAGCAGGCAAGGCTTATTGATCCACGAAGAAAGCAATGGGTGGGTGAAACAGGACATTTGTATAATCTCAAAATATACTGGTTAACTACTAGGGAGGAGATAACTTTACAAAAAGAAATCCAGAAAACAAAACTAAACAACAACAAACCCAAAACAACAACAACAACAACAACCCCCCCCCCCCCGAAACCCAAAAACCAAACCAAAAATGCTTCCCTAGCTGCTGGTAGTGGCATACTTGAGTAAGAATGAGGCAGATCACTTGTGAGTTTAAGTCCATCTTGGTGTAAAAAGGGAGTTCCAAGCCAGCCAGAGCTACACAATGAGACTGTATCTCAGGCCGGGCGGTGGTGGCGCACGCCTTTAATCCCAGTACTCGGGAGGCAGAGCCAGGCGGATCTCTGTGAGTTCGAGGCCAGCCTGGGCTACAGAGTGAGTTCCAGGAAAGGCACAAAGCTACACAGAGAAACCCTGTCTTGAAAAAAAAAAAACCCAAAAAACAAAAAAAACCACAAAACAACAACAACAAAAAAAACCCCCGACACTGTATCTCAAAACAAAACAAAACAAAACTCCCAAACATCCTTGTGTCAATGGTAAGTTCAACATCCTGGATGAGATGTGATTAATAAAATCTAGATGTAATACACTGAGAAAGGCACATCACCAGTCAGTGTGCTTTAAAATGTATTCTACAGCCAAGCAGTGGTGGCGCACGCCTTTAATCCCAGCACTAGGGAGGCAGAGCCAGGCAAATTTCTGTGAGTTTGAGGCCAGCCTGGTCTACAGAGCGAGATACAGGATAGGCATCCAAACTACAGGGAGAAACCCTGTCTCAAAAAACAAAAACAAAAACAAAATGTAGTCTACAGTATTCTCTGAAAAATGCAGACTCTCAGCAAGGCAGGGTGGTGCACATCTTTAATCCCAGCACTCGCGAGGCAGGCTGGTCTACAGAATGAGTTCCAGAACAGCCAGGGTTGTTATATAGAGAAACCTTGTCTCAACCCCTCCCCCTACCAACAAAAGCAGAATCTCAGTCAGCTTAATCACAAGGAAACAGCACACAGACCCCCCAAATGAGGGATACAGTATATTCTACAATCAACTGGCCAGTAGGATTCAAGAGTCCAGATCATAAAAGACAAGAGCAGACAGAGAAACTGTAAGGTTAGAGGCAATTAAGGAGCTATGGCAGCTAAATTCAACACAGGATCCAAAATAAGATCCTCAGGAAAGGACAGCCATGGAGACTTGAAGAAATGAACCGGAGCCTGCAGTTAGCCAGTAACATTATTATACCTACAGTAATTCTCTAGTCTTGACCACGGCTCCATGGTTACCTAAGATGGAGATGCCAGGTGCAGATACAAGTACTTTACTATCGTTTGTAAATTTTCTGTGTCTATGATAAGCTCAACACTAAGAAACAACAATAAAAAAAGGAACCTAGACTACGTTCTTGTAAATGTGCATGACTTGAGACTCCTTGGGGAATAGACTGGCAATCCTGACTTCCTACTCCCTATCATACAACTGCAAGAGCATGTAGGGGTCCAGCTCAGCCCACTCACACTCGGCTCATTCCTTCCCCCAGATGGGCATTTGGTTTCTTCTTGTTCTTCAGGATCTGATTCCCTACAACTTCTTTGTGCTATCCTTCACAGTGATGTATTCCACTGTGGGTTGATAAATATTCATAAAGCACATAAATATTAATAAATATGCATAAATACAGGCCCTTCTTTCAAAGAGCTTAGCCATGGTAAGGAATGAGGGGGTGGTATTTCAAGTAGGCCCAGGGTACCGGGTGCTTGGAGGGAATATGGAGTAGGGTTATTTGGCGTGGCTTCCAGATGGGTCAGTTCCAACTGGGCTCAGGAGGCAATAGGAAAAGCAAATAAACTGAGTCACGAAGGAAAGCTAGATGTGCTGTATGGGAAACAGGAATGCTAGCAACATGAGGCACAGCAATGAAAGCATAAGGGTTTAAACTTGGGGTCGAGGGGGAAAGCGGGGAACCTAAAGGCACAATTCCAGCATTCTGTTCTGGAGGACCTCAGGTACCTTTGTGTATGTGTGTGCATCTGTGTGTATGTGTGTGTATACATGTGGGCACAGGGGCACTGACCTGCGCATGCACACATGATGACCAGAGGTCAATTTTGGCTGTCTTCCTTTACTGCTCTCCACCTGGGTTTATTGGGACAGGGTCTTTCACTAAGCCTGGAGCTCAATGTTTTGCTAGACTGGCTAAACCGTGAGACCCCAGGATCCACTTTCTCTGCATCACCCCCTTTCCTAGCACTGGGAGTACAGCTGTACACCCAGGCTTTTTATACTGGTGCTAAGGATCCAAACTCAGTAAGTCTTCATGCTTGCATAGCAAACGCTTTACTCACTGAGCCGTATCTCCTCAGCTGCCCATGTTTATCAACATAAGCGTTGACTGGATTCTACTCTGAAAAAGAAGAAAATGCTATATAAAAAGACATTTTTTCAGTCAAGGGAAGCAACCAGATAAATGGAAGCAAATTAGATAAATATTGTATCTGTTATAAATTTATTGAAGTTGATGCATATGCTGTGGCTCAGTGATAGCACTTACGTTATTGTTGGAAAATACACAGAAAGATCTAGAGATAAAGGACAATAATGGATGTGATTACAGCTTCATATGGGATTATGTCCTGATAAAGCCACTGTAAGTTGAAAATAATGTGAGTTGAAAATGCATCTGATATTCCTAACCTTCCAAATGCCATCCCTTAGCTTTGTCTACCTTCCACATGCTCAAAACACAGCTGGGCTACTTTATCATCAAGTATTAAATATCTTCTATACACACAGATGTGCACTTTTTGTAGACATGATGGGATGTAAACACAAAACACAATATGATGCCAGCAACACCCTCTGTAGAGATCAGCTGTTCACCGTCTGACAGAAGGACTGCCTGGGAGCTGTGGCTGGCTGTCACTATTCAACATCAAGAAAGTATTGTACCACATAACACAAGGCTGGGACAAGATCAAAACCAAGAATTCCATGTACAGTTTCTATGGAGTGCATATCACTTTGGGCACCATCCTAAAGCTGGAACTCTGTAACTGAACCACTGTGAAGTTGAGCACCATCAGTATTCTGTGTGTATGCATGCGCATGTGCAGGTCTGGGACAAATAAGATAAAACGTTAATAGAGAAAATCAGAATAAAGGGTGTGCTATGTTCTAAATTGTATCCCCACCCCATTCCCATTTGTAAGGAGAAGTTCTAACTCCCAAGGTTTGGAAATTAAGCCTAAAAAGAGGCAATTGGGTTAAAAATGAGGTCCCAAGGGTACAACAGAATTAATGTCTTGTCTCCTTTGCCCCACCCCTGACATGTGGAAGTCATCTGCATGCAATCTACAAATTAGGAAGAAGGACCTCACCTACAGAAATCTAGTACAACCTTGGCCTTAAGACTTCCCGACCCCCAGAGCTGAGAGAAACAAACTTCCATTGCTGAAGGCAGCCGGCTCTCTGTAGCTCGCTGTACTAGTCTGAGCATGCAGAGGTAGGTACAGGAGCTTCCATGTACTCCTCCTGTAGTTTTTCTGTAAACTTGACATTACTGCAGCTTGAAAGTTTAAAAGCTTCTCCTCAAAACAGTAGAAAGAGGGGATCTTTTAAAAAGGCATACAGCATACAGACCACACTGAACAGTCTACCTTCCTTTAAAACATACAAATGCGGATTTGCTTACCATGCCCTTCCCAGAACTCCCTCTTTCATCCACATGTGATCATCATGGCGTGGACTATTGGCATCGAGGCCCTGCTCCCATCTGACACAAAGGGCATCTGGCCACAGTCGAGAAACGGCAGCAGTGCTGCGTCTGATCCCTCCTTTCCCATCTTCACCCTCTCTATTTTGTAGTGTGCATACTTTCTACGGCATCCACAGCTTCTTCTGTAGTGCATTAAGACTCCCAAAC